CTGCAACAGTTGCAAATACGTCCATCGCCAAATGTCAAGCGACTTTGGTCTGAAAAATGATTGAATGCTTTTTTCAAAAATGTCACAAAAAGTACATGCTAAAAAGTGAAGCCTGGTGAAAATATGTGCACTGCTGAAATAATTTTACCTTTTCAGCTGTTTGTCTCATGCACTGAGCTTGCTGGCAGCCGTAAAAAATAATCGAAAATTCGAAAGCGTAATGCAAAAATTTTAGCATTTGTAAATTTCTATAAAATGAGTATAGTTCCACAAAGTGTTGCAAAAAATGAGTATAGTATGAAAAGTGTGAATTTGAGCATGGCTACTCCACCGCCTGCTAAATATCGCCCCCAAAGACATTTCCGGGATTATTTTGGTTATGATTACGATCTACCGGCCATCTTCGATGGCCACAATGACTGACGCTGCAGCGTATTTGTAAGCGCGATACGGTAAGCGTTGGAACTCGTTTCGGTCGATTCTCATTTGCTTGAGCTTCAGTCACCGATCTTTTTTTCTTTTTCATTTTCCTTTATTTTTTATTATTATTTTATTTTTTATAGTTAAGCGGTGACATTTATTGCTTTATCTACTCCTGGCCATTTTGGCGAAATACCGTACAACCGGATGTGACGTCATGTGATCTGCGACCACCAGTGCCCTCTCCACCAATCGGGAGTCACCGGAAATGGCACTGTGACCTGTCACGTGACCAGCACCGGCTCGACCAATCAGGAGGCGTTTCCGGCGACAGAGGTGACTCCGAGGGTCGGCTGAGCTTTTCGCGTCCTTTTTGCACTGATCGTCGTCTCGTGCGCGTGTCCTGCTGGCATACGGCAAAAACTGGTGAGTTTTGAATGGCATTAGTCTTGGATTCTCCTTCAGTGATAATTTGTTGTGTATTGCTTACAATCTGATTTCAACTTTAAAAAAAAATTATATCAGGTAATCATTCTGGTTTGTAGCGGTTCGCAATTTAGTATGCCCTCAGAACTCTTGATATATTGGGTAATGTTTGGTCATACGGGACCTGCTGAAGGACCTGCCGACCTGAGCTGCGGGCCTCTGCCTGCCGAGTATCGTCGTCATTGATTCAAAAGCACTGGTGTAAACGCGCACATTCCTGGCACGAATTATTAAACAATGACCTCTTTTTTGTCAGGTGGCACCAATCGTCATGCCGAAATACACGGAGGAAGATCTGGGCAGAGCGAAGAAGCTCGTCGCGGATGGATTCACCGTCTACAAGGCAGCCAAGGACACCGGCGTGCCGTACGAGACGCTCCGCCGTCACATCTTCGGCATCAACGTCACCGGCTCCACTGGCTCTGGGCGACCGACGGTGCTGACGAGGACCGAAGAGGACAAGCTGGTGGAAATCCTCGCTTACCTCGCCCGCCAAGCATTTCCACTGGACACCAGTGACATCTGCGATCTGGTCCAGCAGTTCCTGAACAACCTCGGCAGAGAGACGCAGTGGAAGGACAACAGGCCCACCCGCTTCTGGCTGTCACGTTTCAAGGCTCGTCACGCCGGTGTCCTCGCGTCGCGCAAACCGGAGATCCTCACCATCACTCGTGCCAAGTCTCTGACGGAGGAAGTGGTTGGCGCCTTCTTCTCCATGTACAACGGGGTGCTCGTCGACCTGGGACTCGAGGACAAGCCGGACATCTACAACCTCGATGAGACGGGACTCTCGACCGATCCGCGCTCGACAAGGGTCATCGTCCCCAGCAAGTCCCGTGACGCCTACCTGAAGACGGCCAGCTGTGGTAAGGCGACATACAGCGTCCTCTTCTGCGTGAACGCCACTGGAAACTACTTCCCACCCTTCGTCGTCTACAAGGCCAAACGCGAGCCCTTTGACTCGTGGATGCGTGGCGGACCGCCAGGAACGGCCTATGGGACGACACCGTCAGGCTGGATGGAGGGCAACATATTCGAGAGCTGGTTCCAGACCATCTTCGTCCCAGAGATCACCAAGAAGCATGATGGTCAGCCCACAGTGCTCGTCTATGACGGTCACGGATCCCACATGACGTATCGGACAGCAGCGCTTGCGAAGGACAACAACATCACGGTGGTATGTCTTCCGCCACACACCAGTCACGCCATCCAGCCTCTCGACGTCGCCGTGTTCAAGCCGGTCAAGGTCGCCTGGGCGCAAATCCTGAAGCGGTGGCAGCGTGAGTCACGACTCGTCGCTGTCGACAAGTCGGTGTTCCCGACTCTCATCTCCCAGCCGTGGAAGGAACTGGATCCGGTCCACGCCGTGGCCGGATTCCGCGGCTCGGGTCTGTTCCCAGTCGACGCTGAGAAGGTTCGCAGCCGGATGGTGGGACCCGGGAGCACGTCACGTGATGACATCCCGTCACCTGATGAGGCGCTCCAGGATGCTGTGCTCAGTGTTCTCAGTCCGGAACAGTCAAGTGAGACGAAGGCGGCCCTGGCCAACAAGACGAAACGCCGCAGCCGAGTTCAAAACAAGAGCGGCGAGGTCTTGACGTCAGAGTCTTCTCTGCAGAGGCTCGAGCTGGAGGCGGCGAAGCGCGCAGAGAAAGGGAAGAAGTCTCCGTCGTCACAGCAGGACAGGAAACTCTCCAAGAAACGCGAAGAGAAGGGAAAGAAGCGGTCTTCGTCGCACAAGATCGAGAAGCCATCCGCGAAGCGAAAAGTGACCAAACTGACGACTCGATCGAAGTAGAGGGGGTAAAGCTCACGCAGGCTTTTGGAAATGTGGCGGTGCCCGTTCGCCACGCCACTGTGACCGTGGTTGGTGTTGTGGCCATTGTCGGTTGTGTTTGTTGTTGTCTGCTCAAGTCATCTATGTGTCTTAATAAATTGAAACGACCGGTAATATATTTTCTTGATTTTTTTACATTTCAATACTTATATTGTTAGCAACACCGATTTCATATCCACGTTCCAGGCGAATTTCAGCGTCGCAAATCCAGCAGATTAGGCACAATAGAGCGTTGAAACAACTGTACTCATTTTTTGCGAAGGAGCAAAAAATGAGTATAGCCGACATTGGTCAGAAGATGCAATTATTACAGAACAGCCGCTCGTCTGACACCGTTGTGCCACATAGGACGTCGTAGTCAGAACACGTAATGTCAATGTCCCATATAGCCATTATTCACACCCTTTCTAGTTTTGAATATATTTAACTGATAATGTAAAACTATACTCATTTTAGGCTCACTACCCTAAACAAAGCTGGTAAAATTTATTTTCACGCGCCTATTCACGCTAGAGACATAACACGGACGAGGGCATAAATAGACGTTCACAGTAAAAGAAGAATAAGCTGTCCATTCGGACAGAACACGCAGTATCTGGTTCACTGAAATCCTTGTGTCTGCTCTATAGGTTTTGTCTCCTCGTGGTCTGCAATTGCATACAAAGCCGAACTTCTTCCCAGAAATCCTACTGGCCTTCTGAGGAGTACAGAGCCGGACTTCCTCCCAGAAATCCTACTGACTTCCTGGCGAGTACTCTGGATGCATCATGGCTATGTGCCGAGTGAGGTTGCTCTTTTTACTGAGAACCTTCCGACAAACAGGGCAGCCGGTCTGGCCACGGTGAAATGCCTTGTGCTGTGAGAGGCTCGCCAGGCTGGCGAACAGCCGGTTGCACATCATGCACCTCACAGGCCCGTCTGCAAGTGGAGATCAAATCACACTGACATATGCATCATTACACGGCGGCGAGAAATGTTTTGGGTCAGGTTAAATTGTTGAATTAATGAAAAAAAAATATCTTATGGAAAGCTGAAGTTACAGATATTCTGAATATCGTACACAAACAATATTTTTCAGAAATAAACATGGCATATAAATATTTATTCTTTTTATTTAGCTCGAATGCTAGGATAGACGGATAGTAAGAGCCGGAGCCCACACAAGCAGAGCTTGCTGCGCAGGTCTCAGCCTCTACCTTACGCAGGGTTTCGGAGTCGGAGTCGGAGTCGGAGTCGCCCGGAGTCGTGGCAAGCAGCTAGGAGTCGGAGTCGGAGTCGGAGTCGGTCAAGCTGCCTCGACTCCGACTCCGGAAAATAACTAGAATCTGTGACATCACTTTTCAGTTTTTTTGTCAGTTGCCCGCGGTAGAATTCGCTTCCGGCGATAAAAATTGCACTCATCTTGTTTTTGTTCTAAATGACAAACATTGGACCTTACAAGTTTCAAGTTATATCATAATTTAGTAGCCAAGTATTTTGGATGCCCGTTATAACTTACACTATCTGAAGTATTTGACGAGTCAAAGACTTAAATGTATTTTTATTTTATTCGTTTATGCTCCGAAAAGTATCAACACATAGGAATGACCGACATGATGGCGATGCTCGTGTTCGTGATACGGCCGCCTCTCGTGCTTCTCGGCGGGTTTCCACGCTGACCGCTGACCTCTTGTGGATTCAGCTGCGTCCACGTGGGAGAAATGGTGACTGCACGAAGGAAACCGGAGAGTAGGAGCGTTCTCTCCGTGCACGTAGACCTAGCACGTGGCGTCATATCACGCAAAATTTTGGCGGCCGCCATTGCCATTCGTATCAGACCCGGAGTCGGAGTCGGAGTCGGAGTCGGTCAGGAGCCCGGAGTCGGAGTCGGAGTCGGAGTCGGAACAGCGCTACCACGACTCCGAAACCCTGACCTTACGACCGGGCAATGCCATGTATAATCGGGATAATCTAGGTATGTAGAGATCGTCCGTCTCAGACCCACTCCACCGACTTTAACTGGCTCATCTCACCAACCGCAGACCATTCCGTCAGGAGTGTCTTAGATGGAGCGCAAGAGTGACTCGAGCCCGAGTTATCACAACCCCGAGTTCAAAGCTCATAGAGACTAGAGAGACCATCCAGTATCCAAATGTAAGCCGCAACCCTCCCTAAGAGTAGCCCACAAAATCAGAACATACTCCTTGTAGTATGACACCTTTTGGCATACGCTTCGAATCTCCTGACCAGGTCATCTAACATTCAAACAGACGTGTTACAAAACGAGACTTTTATTCACTCGAAGTCGAGACCATATGAGTTGCGAGAGAGGTACAAAGTTGATTCAAAAGCATCCACCTAATTAAAATCAACGCAAAAGAACGAACGGGAGGACGCTCCTACAAAGCCTTTCGACAACTACCTTGCCAAAAACCAGAAATCAGAACTCGTCACTGCAAGATATATTACAGAGAACACCTTAGAAAAACATGACCTAACGAGTGAAAGAGAAAAACTGCAGACAAGACACCTTTCAAACCTCTATTCATTAGTTCAGCATTCTCGTTGAGTGATTAACTTCAGGTCTTACATTCGCTCTACGTTCTCTACTATTCTACATGGAAAAAAGGTGACCCAACGCAACATTTACAGGGGGCTAGGCTGCCGAGGCTAACGGGTTGTGAAAGGGTCTCAATTGCGACAAAACTTTTCGGGCCACACATAACTCAAGTGTTGGACATAAGCAGAAACCTTTGAGCGATAAAGTTCCTCCTAAGTGATGAGCTTTCTGTGTTCTAGCTGTCTTTTTTGTGTCCACTTTCAGGAGTCAAGTTGACGTAATTCTTTTTACAATTTCGGTGCAATATTGGAGGCTGTCAATAAGTTTTTTTTTTCGTTATGGCTCCAACGATGTACCCTAAACGTTAGCATGAAAAGGAAAAACTTTACCATCTTAAAATAGCCACAACGCGTTTTGCATATCTAACCAAAGAGGATAGCTTCAGTTGGGATCAGCCAACATCGCAATACTTCATTCTGCTAGCCAGCACTTTGGCCAACAGCGTAAGCCAAACATGAAACAACATTCCAGCATGAACCAGAATCAGAAGGGGTTTATCCCAATTATGACATCAATAGAGTTGCATTATCAATGCCGCTTTGTGTCAATATGTTTGCGCCGCAGGTGAAGGCGCATGTTATGACAAGTTGAAAATGTTTTATGGCAGACAGGGCAGGAGGTTAGGCCTCGGTGGAGCTCCATGTGGTTGCGCAGGCCGGCAGACCACCTGAAGCGTTTTCCACAGATGTGACACTCAGTGCCCGCCGGCGGTGGAGCCTCGTCCGCCAGCGGCTGCGGATAAAACCCTGAAACCGGCCACGGCGACTGTCAGAGGCGGGCTGACAGACCGCTGTCAGAGGCAGGCGGACCGGCGACTGTCAGAGGCGGGCTGACAGAAATACTGTCAACGGGTCTGACAGACGGACCAGCAACTGTCAGCATAGCGACTGGCAGTGGACCTGATACCGTAACTGCTGCTTAACCAGCACTACCAACCAGCCCGGATTTTCATAGAACCGATCTGAGGTTGGCCAGTGCCAATGATCGCAGAAAAGTAATAAATCGGAACTCAATCAACATGGGGAAAATGTGGTGATGACAGTGGACCTCTGAAGGCTGACAGCACCTCTTGGAAACGCAAAATCAAACTCGCTCGATTTCGCGATTAAAATTCATAAAAAACAAATGTCCAATAATTTTCTCAACCAAAGGTGGACTTTGATAAAATACTAAACATTCCTACCTTCAAAGATCGAAGAGCGCGTGGTGAGCTTGGATCTTTGTTATACCCCTTTCCAAAAAATAAAAACTGGATAAGGCCATCATAAGAACTTGTACCCAAAAAAAAAAAAAACATCGCTGACGGAAAGCATCAGCATGCATCTTTAGGAACGATAAGCACAATGAGAGAATATGCCCCACAAAAAATTAAATATCAAGAGCAGATAAGGCCCAATCTCTAACATAAAAAGCAAGCGTCAGTGATGATGAAATAGCGAGGAACGTCAGACTAAAAGATGGCAACGCGGACTGGGGCGCAAAATTTCCTGAATAAGTATAGCCTACATACATAACATTAGTTGCCTCACAATGTTCACACACAAGTCGCTAGACGGCAATATGCACCGTCTTCGGCTCACCCTGAATTACTTAGCTTAGTTACACGGCTGAGATGGTAAAGAAAACGACGAACGTAAAGTTACACTCGTGGTTACAGCCAGGTTAACAACACTAGCCTCGCTGCACCTGAGTTCGAGTCTCACTAGTACCGAGTCTTGGTAAGTTATGGCACTGATACTGAATCACGAATGTGATTTAAGAACGTGCTACGGGTACAAATCACGACCAAGTAGAACCAAAATCACGAATCTAGTAGCGGTGGAGAGCTGACATCTTGGAGCGTCCCGTGACGCAACATTCACCGACCGCACGAACTGTCCTCCAGTCTCCTCAGAGGCAGTCTGTCTTCAACTCCGGAAACCGCCGATCCACCGACTTAGAGCCGACCCAAACTCCGAGTGCGTCCTGCTCAGTTGCCTGGGACCGTGGTTGGCGGCCCAGCCGGGGGACGCCGTCCCGACACACCTCTCTGAGTCTCCCGATCAATGGCTTCCCCATCCCCAGGAGCCGATCTCACTACAACCTCCTGAACAGCGCCCTGCTCCGGCGCTGCGAGGTTCCCATCCCTCGAATGCACGTGTTCTATGTGGTATTTCAGCGAGCTTTTCGTGGCGTAGACTCGCGCGCAGTACGGGCAGCGGGTCTGGCCACGGTGCAGCTCCGTATGATTGGCGAGTCCCGTCTGGTGGCGGTAGCAGCGGCCGCACTGGCTGCATTGGAACGGGCCCTGTCCCGTCTCGCGGCGTCCCACTGCAACGGAAGGCAACACGGACACCTTTGAGCTGCTGAGCAACGGCGGGACCGTGGCATTCGGCGGCCCGATGAACAACGACCGGCTGCCGGGTCAACCGAGATAGCGTGTCGGCCACTTTACGGGCTCCGTACCGATAGGCCGTAAATTTTTCATGGTGATTAGAAATGTCCAAGAAACAAATTAATTCTACCCGTGGAGGGCGATGGAGTACTTGTGACACAGAAGCCTCATATGCCAAACGAACGTAAAGGGTAATTAGGGTGTTTTGGGCTACTTTCGTGCGTCTCTCTCACTCCTAAAAGGCATCAAAAGAAACCGATCGAATGACAAATTTATGGAACCGGGAAAGGGAAACAAAGAGAATCTCCGTCTTTCAAGCATTGCCAATAAACAGCACTTCAGCTGAAGCCGAAAAGGCCAGAGGGCGGATGAGTTCCACCAGCACCCTCGAGTCCATCATTTGTCCCCATTGAAGGTCTCATTCCTGACAATTCTTCTACAACCAAGAAAACAGCCATGGTCACTACCTGGTTGTATTTGCAATGGTCTACCTCTAAAAGTTGGCACGAAATCAACTGACGACGGTCTAGCTACCTACATCAATATCCATAGTCTGCGGTCACTTATACAGAATACAGAGGTACCATTGATGGTGGCAGATGGGTATAACCCTGCTTACAAACTGCTGATGCTAATTATTTACAACAGGAAGGGGCTAGACCGATGTAAAAATTGAAGAAACTCCTCGTTCGTGAAACATGTATTAGAACGATGACCAAATCATCTTAAATGCCCGTTAGTAACAATAGGATGGCACCTAAACTAATTAGCACTGTTCAGTAATTAGCACGTGCCCCATTTACCTAAGTACCGCTCAGGTAGCATCTCTGCATCCCCCCCAGTTCGTTAGTGTCAAGTCAAAAGTGGCTTGGTAATGAACGAACTTAACAGCCTGAACGATTTAACCAAACTGTAGCAGCCCCCAAGGTAGCAGCTACCCGGTGCGCTCCCTCCAGCATCCTGTCTCAGGCTCGTAGAACTTCGCGGGCTTGAACTTGCGTGCGGAGCGCCGTGGTCCCGGTGGGATCCGAACGGTGTCAGCTGGTGGGAGTTCAGCATTCCCTGGTGGACGCTGTGCATCCGTTACCACTGGACCTGAGCATGGGCTCAAAGTCGGAGCCAGTTGCGTGTCCTGGGTGTGACGTTCTGGCTCAGACTGTACCCTTCGTGTCTCGGGTGAGTCGGGAGGGTGGATGACTGGCGTCGACAGGCTGCTGGGCGCCTCCAGTCTGCGTCCAGTCACCGGGGCACGAGGTCCGATGCTGAGTGTCGCCGGTTGGAATGCCCTTAGGAATCGACGATTTCTGTTCGTGATGCGACCCGTGCCGTCCACCTTCACGCAGTACTGGTCATGCCCCAGGGCTTCCATGACGACGCCTGAGCGATCCCATTTGTTTGGGTGGGAGCCATGCTGATTTTGAATGAAGACATGTTCGCCGACTAAGAGAGGACGGAGCGGGCGGGATCCCTTGGTCATCTCTTCGGTTGTGCGTGTCATGCGTGCTCGCAGTGCGTCCTCCTTTGCTGCCCAAGCATCTCGCCAGATGGGGCGGATGTTCGGGTTGGAGAACTTCTCAAGTCGATTGACGAATGAGAAAGCATCACGCAGGGGCCGACCAAAGACTATTTGTGCCGGCGAGACGTTGCAGTCCGGGTCAGGGGTATTTCTCAGCTGCAGCATTGCACGGAGAAAACTGTCCTGGTTGAGAGAGCCGTTGGGACCAGTATTTGACATGAGAAGGCGTTTTGCCGTCTTGACCGCGACTTCAGCTCTGCCGTTTGATACGGGGAAGTAGGCCGACGAAACACGATGCCGAACACCCCAGGTGCTGAAAAACTCCTTGGTTGAGCTTGCCGTGAATTCTGGGCCACCGTCCGTAGAGATCTCTTCCGGTACACCGAACGTCCTGAAGAAGGCTCGGAGGTGGCTGATGAGGCCAGAAGCGCCTGCCATGACAGTTCCCGAGGTCGACCCGAATACTTCTACCCATCCAGAAAGACGGTCGCCCACGACCAAGTAATGACGACCACCATGGTCGAAGAAATCAGCGAAGACAGCCTCGAATGGTGTCGATGGTGGCGGTGATGGGATGGGTGGCGTGTCAGCCTGCGACGGTGAGTTACGGTTGCAGTCGGTGCAGCGATCGCGGGTCTCCCGGATATCTTTGCACATGCCTGGCCAATATACAATGGTGCGCGCGCGCTGCTCCATCATTGATATGCCCTGGTGAGCAGAATGGAGGTTGGCCAATACACGATGGCGCAGAGCTGGGGGGACGACAACTCGGTCCTGGTAGAGGATGACGCCGTCTTCCACGTAGAGGGAGTCGAAGAGATGATGGAGCTGGGCTACTGTGGGATCTTGTACACGGTCGATCCAATGTCCGCTCTCGATCATGTCGAGGAGATGACGCCAGGAAGCGTCCTTGGTCGTCTCTTCTGCGATGAGCGACCAGGGGAGCGCCATGTCGCGAGCTTCGTGACGAATTGCTTCAGTCAATGCGACTTCCACCAGATCCTGTGCGCTGAGTTCTGAGCCACTCGTAGATTGAGACGCAGTTGGGTTCCTGGAGGCAGCGTCGGCAGCATGATTTGATTTTCCTGGCAGGTGCATGATCTTAAATCGCCATGGCAGAGTGCGCTGTTTCAACCGAAACAGTCGGCTGTTCGTGATCTCGTCAAGGGTCCTGTCTCCGAAGATTTTGATCAGGGGCTTATGATCTGTAGCGACGACTAAGTCATCGCAGCCTTGGGTGAAGAACCTGCTTTGTTCCAAACCCCAAGCGACGGCGAGTGCTTCCCCTTCGACGGGTGCGTACCGCTGCTCGGCGGACGTCAGAAATCTGGAGCCAGCCAGGGTGATTCTCCAGCCATTCGGACAGCAGTCGGGCGAGTCTGACCGACAACTGCAGTGCTGCTGGAGGAGAAAGTACCCAATCCCTCGGCAGGACCAATCAGGACGCAGGCACGTCTTCTTTGTCACGTCGAAGATCTTGACGCCGTGTCTGATCGCATCAACTATGACTGTTTTTGATTTTTGGAACGCCTCTTCCAGTTCCGGAGACCACACAAACTTGTGGCGTGGGCTGAGGAATGGCTTGAACAATGCAAGGGCATCGCGCAGCTGCGCATAGTTGGCTACCTGGTTCACGAGACCAAACCAGCTTCTTACGTCAGTGGTTGACGTTGGCGTTGGGAAGTCCCGGATAGCATCGAGGTACTTTGGTAGCGGTTCGATGTCCGTTTCAGAGATGTGGAAGCCTGCAAAGTCAGCTGACCGCTTGGCGAACTGAAACTTCTCTGGGTTGAGGACTATGCCAGCTTTTCCCACACGAGTGAGGAAGTCGATCGTTCTCCACCAGTGCTCCTCTAGGTTGGAATCGTAGTGGATGGTGTCATCGACACATCGTTCCTTCCGTTGGAACGTTGACAACACTGCATCGAAACGGCGGTTGTATCCATCTCCAGACGAGAGGAAACCCTGAGGTGCACGGGTGTAGCGCCACCTGCCGAACGGCGTTATGAACGTGGTGAGGTGGCGATCGGTCTCTCGAAGTGGGACGCTATGATAGCCATTCCATGCGTCTGTCACTGTCTTCCACGTGTTACCGGGGACACGCCTGGCTAGGTGGAACGGAGACTCTGCAGAGAACGTTTCTCGACGACAGAACTTGTTCAGAGGTGACAAGTCCACCGTTCGTCGCGGAGATCCGTCATGCTTCCGAGTAATGACCATCCGATGACACCATGACACTGGTTCGCCGTAGGGGACACGTTCGATGACACCCAGTGCTTCATCCCTGAGTAGATCTTCATGGACCTGTTTCTGCCAGTGCAGAGGTATGTTAGCCGCGGTATGACACGTGCGTGGAGTGGCGTTTGGGTCCATGTGGATTTCTAGCGGTGGGCCCTCCATGCATGGCATGGGCTGATGGGGACAGGTGTTGAAAGTGGACGCGCTATACCGATCCAGTAACCAGGCCGCCATCCGCTCGTTGTTGTCTGGTGTGCAATCGAACGGTAGGGAGGTTGGTCGGGGCGGTACTGACGTACGTAGTGGGCACGAGCAGGGCGCTTCTCCGACCGTCTCTGTCACGTTGCATCCACCATTGACCGAGCGTAATGTGCTGGGGGATGGAGTTGAGATGCCGTCCTCTCTGTCCGGCGCGGCTAGGCCCTGCTTTTCAGTGCCCAGTGTCCCTCTTTCTGCACTGGCTTTTGACTTAGCACCCCCGGCAGGAAAGTCCGCCGACAGCATGCCAAGCTCTAGCATGGTCTCATATGAGAGATACATTGAATGTACAGCGTTGCTGACGTAAATCATCGAGCGGCAGGTGGTGACTTCTCCCCCAGAGGTGTGGCTAGTTATCCTTGCGAAGAACGCACCCTCTATCGGGATAGGCGATCTGTTGGCCGCGGACATGCCGAGCTTGACACGGAACAGACTGTCCCGAGAGAACCCGTGGGCCAAGTACTCTTTAAGAGACCACAAGTCAGACTGCGCACCTGTGTCTGCTACTGCAGATACCTGAGCCCGGACCGATGGATCCGGGGGAGCCCGAGGTCGGTGCTTGGCGGACATGTCAGCAGAGATCGTTATGTTGACCCGGGGGTGGTCACGGAAACGTGCTTTCTTCCATTCTCCTTTGTTAAAGATATGGTGGTCCAGGACGACGCTATTGACAGTGTTCTTCCGGTGTGAAGGTTTCTTCCGTCCTGTTTTTTGTGCTTCCCGGCCCACTGAGCAGGCTTCTTCAGTGGTCATCTGAGAGACCGTGTCGGTCTCTACCGTCTGTGCGGCAAGCTCAGTCTGAGGCTGGGCCGTCGGTGAGCGTTTATCTCGACGTTTTGCACGGAAACAATCCAGACAACGAGGGTGAGGTTTTGCGTTCCACCCACGAGGGCCTTCAGTGAACACGCAATAGCGTTTGTTGCA